AGTATTTAATATTTTTATAATAAACCATATATTTTTTTTAAGTTAATATTTTTATAATAAACCGGTTCCCATATTCTCGTAAATCAGTAACTGAACCAAAAAATCGATTTTTGTACTTCTTTGAACTGAAACCGAACCGATTTTTCAGATAACTGGAAAATCGATTCAGTTATCGGTTTAGTTCGGTTTGCATTTTTTTGAACACCCCTAATCTATAGTAGTTCTTACCTCTACATTCAGGAAAATGAATTCTTATCAAGACTTTGCTTAACCATAGCTTATGTATATACGTGTCCATACATTTTCATTTTCAACAAGAGAAAGTGCAAACCTTCTTATAATTATTAAATACCCCTTAAATTATTAAAATTCTCCCACGTCAAAAGGTTTCAATAATTATAAAAGAGGTTTTTAATAATTTCCAAAAACCTTTTGAGCGTGTTTAAAATTAAACAATCGTGGAAGGGGTGTATAAAATAAACCCGGGGGTGTGTGCTTGTTTTATTATTTTCAGTAGTATTATTGAAATATTATTGTTAAGTTGAGTTGGGTTATTATTACGAGGTAGGATTTGAAAATTAACAAAAAAACCCTAGGTTTGTTAATTTAGCCAAACACCCCCAATAATAAAAAGTTTATAAATTGATAAAAACACCCCTACCCACCCACAGTTACTAGATTCCGGCCATCACCATCGGAATCTGGCCGGAATATGGTGTCATTACGTACGATCGGCCAGATTTGGCAGGTCGTGCACCGTTATGGCCTTTTTCAGTCAGAGCCACCACAGATATGGCCGTAAAAGGCCAAATCTACGACCTGATTGCCAAAGATCCTTCAACGACGACCATATATTAGCCGTCATTGACGGCTAGATGTGGCCAAAGATCTGGCCGTCAACTACTAAATTTTTGGCCGTGGATTTGGCCTTTTCCGGCTAGATCCACTGTCGATCTAGTCAGAAAAGGCCAGATCGGCACACCACTGGCCAGATCCAGCCAGTAGTGTGCCATCATGTCAGATTTCGGCCATCTTCCGATTGTAGTTGCTGGAATCTGACAAACGTGGGTGGGTGGGGGTGTTTTTGTCAATTTGTAAATTTTTTTTGTTAGGGGTGTTTAGTTAAATTAACATACTTATGAGGGTTTAAATATTTGAATATTATAGGATATGATTTTGAAAATAGGGAAATAAATATGTATTTTTTTAAGGATAGGAATAGAGTATTTAAAAAAAAGGAAACAAACGCAACCTGATTTTGCGGTATTCAGTGAGTAAGATATATAAAATTTCTTGGAGACTAAGTAAAAACTGCTCATCAAAGGACTTGTCACTCGCTTGTACATCGCACCTCAAACAAAAATATGTAGTTTGGTAGCGGTGTTGGAGAATGGACATATGTTAATTTCCACATTGACTCGTCTTCTATTTGAACATTCTAAGTCAAGGATTTTGCTGATGTGTTTTAATGACAAACAAGTGACTCGTAATGGCTGGAAAATAATTTGTTGGAATGAAATTCAAGACAAGAGATAGAATTATTGACTTTCAGGTACCATGCATTAACATTGCTTGCTCCGAAAACAATGTAAACCATATTTTTTTAGCCTCATCTAATAAAGAATCACAATCAAACACGACTAATAACCAATAGATTAATATTTGAAAATGTACATAAGAATATTTTTGGATGGGAGCATAGATTAGGACCCATCATATATATGTGCTCTTTCATACTGATTTTTCTTATTTTTGACGTTTCATAACGAAATAAACAAATTATATATTTTGTCATGAAAGTTGTGTGGGATAGTTTCTTTGAAGATTAGTTGGGTGTAGGTACCCACACACCTTAGTTAACCAAAAAAAAAAAAAGAAAAAAATTTCCTAGTTTTATCTTGTGATTACTTTATAGCTCATTCAAATAATATAAAATATAATTTAATGTAATATAGTCTTAAAAATTAATCTTTGATATAATATATAACAAACATAGAAAAAGAAATATCGTTTTATTTTTTAATACCAAGTAACATGTTTTGCTAACATATGTATTAATAAGATGATCTAAAACTATTATATTAACAGATTTCTTCGAAGGCATAATAACCCACACGGCATGAAAACTTGACTAAGACTAAGGCCTTTTAAAGAAGGCAGCCCTAAATTAGCGGTAACGTTTTAATAATGTCAATACTTGGGTGGATGCTCAGACTTGTTTGCCAGTTGAATTTTCCACAGCAGGACTGATGTAATCCTCAGTAACGTATCCCCACATCAACATGACACCCTCCTATATATACCTCCATTTATACATCATTACTCACACTTCACAGCCAGATTTAGAGAAACCAAACCAAATTAAAGCAATGGGCATCATGTCTGCTCAACTTATATTTTCCCTCAGCTTAGTCTTCCTCGTTCAGGTATGCATTTCATTCTCTTCTTTTATTCTTTATTGTCATTAAGTATATAAATAACAAGTATTCGATTAGTAATGATTCACATTTTAATTGGTTTTCATGCAGGAGCTCACATGGCAACGATATCCATTACAAACAATTGTCCCTACACCGTTTGGCCAGGAACTCTCGCCAACGCTGAGCATCCTCAATTAGCAGAAACCGGGTTCGAGTTAGCCACCCGAGGAACAAAGACCCTCAACATTCCTGCTAAATGGGCGGGCCGTTTCTGGGCCCGAACACAATGCTCCGGTAGCTTCACTTGTGCCACTGCAGACTGCGGCTCAGGCCAAGTTGCCTGCAATGGAAAGGTGCAGCCCCACTGCATCCCTGGTTGAAATAAAGTTCCAATCAGACGACGGACAGGATTACTACAATCTTAGTCCGTTGATGGCTTTAACCTTCCAGTTGCTGGCGCCCCAGAAAATGGCTCGGTTCTAAATGTGTTAAAGCCACATGCTCAGCCAATGTGAACGCGGCGTGCCGGCGGAGCTACAAGTGAAAGGAACCGATGGAAGTGTGATGCTTGCAAGAGTGCATGTGAACAATTTAAAGACCCAAAATACTGCTGCACTGAGCTTATGCAGATAATTGCCCGCCAACGAACTATGCTACGATTTTCAAGAACCAATGCCCTAAGCTTATAGTTACCTAAAGATGATGCCATAGTAGCGTGTTGCATGCACTTCTGGGGCTAACTATGCCATTACTTTCTGCCCATGAATGAGGGATACGTTAACGAAACTTTCTTATATATTCTACTATAAATATAGGACTAAATAAGACTCAATTCGTATCATGAAGCATACACAATAATTTTCTTTTGAGAATTTGTTATCTGTAATAACAAATGAAGAAATAAATAACCTCATTATATTTTTCTTACTTGTTTCACCATGATGGTTTCTTTACTTGTTATTTCTTTAAAAAACGTAGTGCCTTTATACACTCAACATTAGTTAACCTTTGATATATGATATAAAAAAGAGACAAAAATAGTTGGTTTAAGGTGGATGTTTGTGTTTTTGTTCTTGCCCTATCAATGGGCTGGTGGCATTAGGGCTGTAGCAACTTCTTTTTGGATGCCAAAGTAAGATATTTTTCAACAGGAGATTGCCCGACTGGAAAAATAATTGTGAAAAACTCAGAATAATTATCTCAATGACCTGATTACCCTGCTCAATGTAAATAATAACCATTATTAGGCTATCCAATTAGATTTGTTGATCAACTAGATAATTTTGGATTTAGTACAAAACCCCTCCAAGTTCAAACCTGAAAGTTAATCTCTTCAAACATGGCTTTGAGATCCCCTTTTTGTCGTCTTCAATCTTTCAAAACCCATCTCTGAAGGTTAATGTTTATTCTTGTTAGCTCACTTACATGTCTCACAACTTCAAACTCCAAACATGAAGTTTGTATCTTTCGAAAAAACCCTTGAACGATTCTCACTTGCTAAATTCCTCAAAGAAAATGTCGATCAGGTAACTTTACTCTGAATGAAGCATTGTACTTTTTTATTACATGATTAATTCGCACCCATTCCTCCAATTTCATCATCACTACTTTGTTTAGTGCATTGCAAACAAGAAGCATTATTATGAAGTGATTTCGTGTTATAGGTGGTTGAATTCAACTGGGTTGTCTCCAGATTTTATGTCGTTGAATATTTTGATGAATTGCTTGGCTAAGATTAAAAGGGTTTCGTATAGTTTTGCGTTTTTTTTGGGGGATGTTGAAGAAGGGTTTTAACCGAATGCCGTGATTTAATTGTTTGATTAAAGGTCTGTGTGTAGAGCGAAAGATTATGGAGTCGACTGAATTGTTTAAGAAAATGGTTGCTGTTGGTTGTCGGCCTAATGTGTTACTTGCAGCACTTTGATTGATGGATTGTGTAAGACAGGGAAGATAAGTGTTGCGATTGTTGCTTGATGAGATGGTTATGGGAATGCAGAATTTGTGTATTTGTAGCCCAGATGTTGTTACTTATAGTACTATAATTGATGGTCTTTGTAAGGCTGGGTTGGTTGAGAAGGCTAGACAATTATTTTGGAGCTATGATTCAGAGAGGTGTGGTTCTAACATTTATACTTACAGCATATTTAATGAATGGTTATTGCTGGCCAATAGATTGATGATGCAACAGGTTGTTTGATTTAACTAGAAAGGGGTATAGACCTAATGTTGTTTGCTACAATTCTTAATCAATTGGTATTGCAAGAATAAAGAAATCAGTAAAGCTCTTATCTTTACGAAAGATGATTTCTGAAGGAATTAGGCTGATGTGATTACATATAACACCTTGTTAATTGGCCTTTTTAAAGGTAAGGTACAGATGCACGGAAATAGTTGGTGAGATGCGAATTAACAGTGTTTTTCCAATTCATGGACATATAGCTTTTTATTTGGACTTTGCAAGAATGGATATGTTTTGGAAGCAGTGGAAATGTTTAATACTCTAGTAAATAATAAGTTTGTAGTTCGCTTGAAGGTTTGAGTTCTTCATTTGAGGATTATGCAAAACAGGGAGATTCGAAACTGCTTGGGACCTATTTAAGAAATTTTGTCTTCATGGAAACTAGTGCCAAACGTTGTAACATATAGATTTTGATCAATGGGCTGTGCAAAATTGGACAACTAGAAAAGGCAAATGAGTTGTTGTCATATATGGAGGAAAAGGTTGTGCTCCAAATGTAGTCACGTTTATACGCTTATCTTTGGTTTCCTCAAAAATAATGAGATACCAAAAGTTGTTGAACTCCTTCATAAGATGGCGGAGAGAAATATGAGGCTGACTGAATGTTCATGTCTAGTATGCAGTTACTAATGAAGGCCGAAAATTATCGTGAATGTTTGAATCAGCTTCCGATTCCAGTCAAAAGCGAAGTTGAAGTTTTCATGGCAGCAATTTAGTGAGAGTAGAACTTTATTCAAAGCAGAATACTTATCAAGAGACCTTTATTTGACAGCATTTAAATATAAAACTACACAGGTTCATCCAGCTTCTCAAATGCTTTGTTTTGGTTACGGTAAGAAAAGGTTTAGTATACACCTTTGTTTGTTCGAAATATTTGCTCATGATGTCTTCTGGGCTGGTGAATTCTTTACGGAACTGCTTCAGCAATTTACTAGCATGGACTGATTGTAGACCCTGAAAAATTGGTAACGCTTTTGAGCTATAAAAGTTTTACTGTAAAACTTAATTCATGCTGTCTGCTGTAGTTAAAAAATATGTAATTATTTTTAGAAGTTCTGGTGTTGTTGTCTTACCATTTTGTAGAAAGGCGGGTTGAGCTATTAAAAGTTTTACCATTGTGTTGTGTGGTGATTGGGAGAAGGTGAAGTTTATTTATTGCGATGATGGATCAGGGTGTGCAGTCTAATGTGGTGACGTTTAGTGTGGTCTTAGATGAATTAGATTATCGCTATATCTATTCCATTTTCGACTTCTTTTTCTTTTTCTTTGTCTTGCATCAAATAAATCTAGTATTGTGGAGGAAACATTAGAATGATTGATTCTCTTTATCCCCTCTTAGTTTTCTGATTGATTCCTTTCTCGACCCAGTGTATCTCTTTTTATTCTTATTCTTCTATCTTAATTCTCCATCCTCGGTATCTATCTTAATCTCTCCATTCTTTCTCCTGCATCTAATTTATATAACAATAACACATAGAGCAAGTAGCATGATGAGAGAGAAAAATAAGGTGAAGGTGCTTGGGAATGTACCCACAAATAAAAATCAAGACGAGAGATAGAAGAGAAAATGTCAAATAAGAAAAATTTAGTTAAAATATAAATTTTTTTTTTTTTTTTTTTTTTTTTGGGTCCTCATTTACATTTAATATGAGCTTCTTATTCTGATATATTAAAATTTAATTTGGAGGTTTCTTGAAAGCCTTAGACAATGCCTTCATTTGGGCACAGTAAGAAGTAGTCGTAAAATATTCTCAATCCTCGACCGATTTGATGTTGTCATAGTATTTCGAGAATTCTTTTTATATATACGCGTTTTATATTAATGTTGTATGTCAGCAGGAAACGTGGGATAAAGTGATTATCAATTTGTACGTCCTCCAAGGCTCACAGAATGGTAATGACCAGAGTGGGACAAGACATGGTTATCAGGAATGGGGAGTTCCAACATTCAAGATATGTGTCGATTTCAGAAATCATTCTATTAATGTGTATACTCTTGTTTTGATGTCAATCTAACGGTTTTTGATGAACAGGTATGCTAATCAATCAAGTCTGGTACCAGGAGTTCCACTAGTACTCTTGAAAAGTATTGCAAAGCGGTTATATGATGTGAGAAAATACACCTCAAAGTGCTTATGTGATCCTTTCCAATTGTTTGCGATTGGGATCTCCGGTTGATCCGAAAAAGCTCCTCCCGCTTGCAAACGGGGCTAGTGGAGTCGCCATTGATGTGCATTACTACAACCTCTTCTCAGACACGTTTAACAACTTTGACGTGCAGCAGAACATCGATTTAGAATTTTCTTATGGATGAAATTTGAATTACGTGCTTGGACACTAGTTCATGTACACGTGCTTCTGCTTTTGATGCCAGAAACTCCAGTAGGCAGTGAAAGAAGGCAGCTTCTCTAAAAAGTCAACTGTCGTTTTACCTTATGGATTATGCAGGTTAAATTCAATTGTGTTTACTCTGTTATCTATACGATTTCAGGATGTATAAGTATATTAAAGGAGCTATATCCCACACCAATCCACCGCTATGACCCCTTAAGTAAATTATGGGTAAAGGTATTACTTTTGTGTTCAATTTTAAATTAAACCTAAGATTGTGAGTTGTATCATTTTGTAGTCCATTTGGTTTGCTCTTATAGCTGGCCTACCCATGGGTGGGTATAATACATACACTTCAATTTGTGTTTTCTTAGTTATTTTACTACAGTATTGATCCGATAAAGTAAAAAAAATTCCGGTTTGGGATGTATGATGTTACATGTATGATTAATATAATTTTGTTTTCTCAATTATTTTACTATAGTATTGATCTAATAACGTTAATATAATTTCAATTTTGGGATGCATAATGTTATATGTAATATGAATACGTTGATTGTGATTGAGATAATATAAAAAGGAAAAGATTGAGACTCTCAAACGGGGAGTTTACCTTAATCTTTTATTATACATACTTAAAACAAAGGTTAATTGAAAAATATCTAAATTAAGTTCAATAATTGGTGTTAAATCTTTGGGCTGTCGGTCTGACTCCAAGGGCACAATTTATATTTGAAGCCCAAAATATAAACCCAAGTCCAGCTTAAATCTATTGCTGGCCCAGAAGACGTTCTTCCCTTTGAAATTATTAGAAATCTCTCTATAAGAATATAAGAACAAGAAAATCCTTAAGAATTATTTAATATTTTTGTAAAATAAGAAATATGAAATATCGAGATGTGTAGATATCACGTAGGCTCAATAAATGTTGAAAGATCTCAAATCTAAGCTTTTATTGGCTCGAGAAATTTCTTTGTTAACCTAATTAATATAAGAATACCATGTGAATTGATTTCAACTAAAATAATATTAATGGCTACAACTACAACAATTACCAGCTCCCTACATTTAAAGAAGCTGCTTCTTGTTCTCTTGATGAGCCCTCAGCATCAATAACGCTGTGTTATGGGCAAAGAAACTTAATACATGGGAAAACTAGGGCTAATTGTTCTAGGATTAGTTATACAAACAATAGAATTTTAGTTCTATCCTGCTGCTTTTTTGGTGAAGGAACATTTTGGAAGCCTAAAAAGATTGTCTAATATATTCTTTGATACTTTTGAAAGAGTTGGGCTTGAGCTGGACATGACACATATTACCCCTTATCTAGCTCTTACTAACCCATGAACTCTAAGCTATCTATAGTAGGAGTGTTCAAAACCGATTAACCATCAATTGAACCGGTTTTCGGTTAAAGAATTTTCTTAAACTGAACTAAACCAGTTAAGGGGAAAATCGGTTTTTCAGTTAACCGATTTAGAATCAGTTTTAATTTAATATTTTTATAATAAACCATATATTTTTTTAATTTAATATTTTTATAATAAACCATATATTTTTTATAATTTAATATTTTTATAATAAACCGGTTTATAAAATTGGTTTGGATTAACCGATTCTCATATTCTCGTAAATCGGTAACCGAATCAAAAAATCGATTTTTGTAGTTCTTTGAACTGAAACTGAACCTATTTTTCAGATAACCGAAAAATCGGCTTGGTACGATCTGCATTTTTTTGAACACCCCTAATCTATAGCAGTTCTTACCTCTCCATTCAGGAAAATGAATTCTTATCAAGACTTTGCTTAACCATAGCTTATATATATACTTGTCCATACATTTTCATTTTCAATAAGAGAAAGTGCAAACCTTCTTATAATTTTTAAATACCCTTAAATTATTAAAATTCTCCCACCTCAAAAGGTTTCAATAATTATAAAAGAGGTTCAATAATTATAGTGTCATTGCGCACAACTAGCTAGATCTGGTTGGTCGTGCGCTGCTATGGCCTTTTCCGATCAGATCCACTACGGATCTAGCCGAAAAATGCCAGATCTACGACCGGGCCGTCAATGATGAAAAAAGATATGGTCATCGTTGATGGTCAACGATGGCCATATATTAGTCGTCATTGACAGTCAAATGTGGTTAAAGATCTAGCCGTCAATGGCGATACCTTTGGTCGTGGATCTGGTCTTTTTCGGCCAAATCCATAGTGGATCTGGCCAGAAAAAGCTAGATCAGCACACTACCGGCTATATCCAACCGGTAGAACGTCATTACGTCAAATTTCGGCTATCTTTCGATGGTGGTTGTCAGAATCTGATAAATGTGGGTGGGTGGGGGTGTTTTTGTTAATTTATAAAACTTTTTGTTATGGGTGTTTAGTTAAATTAACAAACTTAAGAGGGTTTAAATAGTTGAATATTATAGGATATGATTTTGAGAATAGGGAAATAAATATGCATGTTTTTTTAAGGATATGAATAGAGTATTTAAAAAAAAAAAAGGAACAAACGCAACCCTGATTTTGCGGTATTCAGTGAGTAAAATTTCTTCGAGACTAAGTAAAAACTTCTCCTCAAAGGACTTGTCAATCGCTTGTTGGAGAATGGAGATATGTTCTTTTCCATATCGACTCTTCTTCTAAGTCAAGGATTTTGATGATGTGTTTTAATAACAAACAATTGACTCGTAATAGCTGGAAAATAATTTGTTGGAGTGAAATTCAAGACTCAGAGATATTATTATTGACTTTCAGGAAACATGCGTTAACACTCCTTACTCCGAAAACAATGTAAACCATATATTTTATAATTTTTAGCTTCATCCAATAAAGAATCACAAACAAACATGACTAATAACTAATAAATTAATATCTCAATATGAATACATAAAAATATTTTTGGATGGGAGCATAGATTAGGACCCATCATATGTGTCCTTTCATTCTGGTTTTTCTTATTTTTGACATTTCGTAATGCAACAAAACAAATTATATATTTTGTCACATGGGTTGTTATGGATAACTTCCGTGACGATTAGTTGAGGTGCATGTAGATTTATCCGGATACATAAGTTTAAAAAAAAAAAAAAAAAAAGCATTTTTTAATTTTATTTTGTGATTGCTTTATAGGTCAATCTAAATAATATATATAATGTAATATATGTCTTAAAAATTAATCTTTGATATAATATATTAACAAACATGGAAAAGATATATCACGTTTTATCTTTTAATACCAAGTATCAGGTTTTGCTAACATATTGTATTAATAAGATGATCTAAAACTATTATATTAACAGATTTCTTCGAAGGCATAGGTAACCCACACGGCATGAACACTTTGACCAATGACTAAGGCCTTTCAAAATAGGCAGCCCTAAATTAGCGGTAACGTTTTAATAATGTCAATACTTGGGTGGATGCTCAGACTTGTTTGCCAGTTGAATTTTCCACAGCAGGACTAATGTTAATCTTCAGTAACGTATCCCCACATCATACATGGCTCCTGCCCTATATATACCTCCATTTATACATCATATACTTCACACTTCACAGCCAGATTAGAGAAACCAAACCAAATTAAGCAATGGCCATCATGTCTGCTCAACTATATTTTCCTCAGCTTAGTCTTCCTCGTTCAGGTATGCATTTCGTTCTCTTCATTTTATTTCTTATTGTCATTAATGTATATAAATAAAAAGTAATCGATTAGTAATGATGCACGCTTTAATTGGTTTTCATATGCAGGAGCTCACATGGCAACGATATCCATTACAAACAATTGCCCATACATGTTTGGCCAGGAACTCTCGCCAACGCTGAGCATCCTCAATTAGCAGAAACCGGGTTTGAGTTAGCCACGAGGAACAAAGACCTCAACATTCCTGCTTAATGGGGGGCCGTTTCTGGGCCGAACACAATGCCTCGGTAGCTTCACTTGTGCCACGCAGAATGCGGCTCAGGCCAGTTGCTTGCAATGGTAAAGGTGCAGTCCCACCTGCATCCTAGTTGAAAAAGTTCCAATCAGACGACGGACAAGATTACTACAACTTAGTCTCGTTGATGGCTTTAACCTTCCAGTTGCTGTCGCCCCAGAAAATGGCTCTGGTTCTAAATGTGTTAAAGCCACATGCTCAGCCAATGTGAAAGCGGCGGTGCCCGACGGAGCTACAAGTGAAAGGAACCGATGGAAGTGTGATTGCTTGCAAGAGTGCATGTGAACAATTTAAAGACCCAAAGTACTGCTGCACTGGAGCTTATGCAGATAACTGCCCGCCAACGAACTACGCTACGATTTTCAAGAACCAATGCCCTCAAGCTTATAGTTACCCTAAAGATGATGCTAGTAGCGTGTTTGCATGCACTTCTGGAGCTAACTATGCCATTACTTTTTGCCCATGAATGAGGGATACGGTAACCAAAACTCTTTGATATATTATACTCAAAATATAGGATTAAATAAAAGTCAGTCCGTATCATGAAGCTTATGGACGATGCAAATAATTTTCTTCCAAGAATTTGTTATCTGTAATAACAAATGAAGAAATAAATAACTCTCATTATACTTTTTCTTTACTTGTTTCACTATTGATGGTTTCTTTACTTGTTATTTCTTTTGAAAACGTAGTGCCTTTACACACACAACGTTAGTTAAGCCTATGATATATATATATAATTTGTCATAATGAAACATCCAATCCACAAAAAACAAAACATACATATGAGAAAGCAACATACATATAAAAGCCATAAACTAGAAATCAAACAACCTAATCTAAATGGATATTAGCATGTCTTATCCTAAAAACAAATTTTCAAAATACTTTTTGGGCAAGAAGATAGCTAATTCAAAGGCAGAGAATATGATGTTGCTAACCTTGCAACTCATGCGATAAAATATTACCTTTCCTTCTGGTCCACTGAAATCCAACTAAAGAACAACTATGGGGGCAAGGTTGTGAATATCTCTCACAATTCCATCAATCTCTCAAAAAACCTTTTCCTTCCCACAGACCTTAACAAGATCTAAACTAACTATTTCCAGTAAGACCTAACCAAAACCCATGATATAAAACAAAGGCGAAAATGGTTGCGTTTGTTTTATTATTTTTCCCTATCCTATTCCTATCCTACCCAAAATTTATATTTGTTTCCCTATTCTCAAAATCCAATCATATTCTATTCAACTATTTTTAAACCCCTTAGGTTTGTTAATTTAGCTAAACGCCGCTTACAATAAAAC